GCCCCCGCCGCCCGGGAACGGGCCCGGGCGCGGTGCTGTGACCTGGTGTGACAGGAGCCACCGCCCGCATCGCCCTCTCCTCACACCCAGGAGACCCCCGGCACGGGACACGAGCCACGGTGACCGACACAGAATCCCAGTATTTGCCTATTCCCCCATGTCGGGCTGGTCGGTGCCAGCCGAGGACAGGATCGAAAAGCGCCTCTCGGGGATGTCGGTCACTGTCGCAGGCGGAGCAGGGATCCAGCCCCGAATTCTGGAGCAATGTCTGTGGTACCCGGACCCTCAGAGGAGCGTTTTAGGGAGAGCTTTGATGGACACGAGTGGCGTTTTCCGTGGCATATGGCAGAAATAGAACATTTTCCCCATTTAACTCTTCTTTGCTGCCCAGGGAGATCGTGGAGTCTTCCCTCTCTGGAGACATCCCAAACCCACCTGGACGCGTTCCTGTGTCACCTGCTCCGGGTGACCCTGCCTTGGCAGGAGGCTCTAGAGGTCCCTTCCAACCCCAGCTATTCTGTAATTCAGTGATTCATCGACAGCCGCTTGTTGGACACAAAGTCAGCGCCTGTTATCAGCCGCCCGCAGGTGTCTTTGGGAATTGTGCGCATTCAGGAAACCATCGCACTTCCCACACCTCCCAAATCCTGGCCTGGGAGGCTCGGGGGACACGAGTGACACAAGATAACCTTTGTGCAGGACTCGGGGAGGTCCCAGAGCCGCAGCCTGTGTTTAAGCACAGGTGTGTTTACGGGGAGCAGCTCCGTATCCTGCTGATAAGGCTCCCACCTTTGCACTCCCGAGCCACAACAGAGCGCTCGCACCCTCCTCAAACGACACCGGGAAACGACACCATTGGAAACAGCTTTTGTGTGTGCCCAGCTGGGCTGGCTGCCCCGCAGAGCTGCTGGGGACGAGGCAGCTCTGTGCCTTTCACCTGAAATGACTGCGGGGTGATGGGAGGCTCACACAGGACCCTCAAACACGGATCCATCACGCAGCATCTGCCCCCAGCCCTGGCCGGGCCGCGGCGGGTGCCGGGGTTGAGGATGAAGAGCGGAGCAAGCGGGGAGCGACATTTCCCCGCTCTGGTGACTCACGGCTCAGGCGCGTCCAGGGCCAACAATGTGCCTTTGTACTCCGAGATCTCAATGGATTTCTCTTTCGTGGTCTTGTCTGCTTGGCTTTTGAGCCTGTGTAAAGCCCGTAAATCCTGAAATAATGAATCCCACACGGTTTTGCTGCACCTGGCGCAAAGAAAACGCCTCCCTTTGTGGGCATTGAACCTGACATCTGCCGGTTTCACCGCATGCCCGCCTGTCTTTAGAACAAAACAATAAATCCAGCCATTATTCATCCCCTCTCCTGCCAGTCAGGATTTGAGAGCCTTCTATCATTTCTGCCAACTGCTCGGAGCCTGGGCTGAGCAGAGTCGAGGGCCGGGCAGTGAGATTTGGCTGGCGAGCAGTGCCTGGAGCTGATCCCGGCTTCACACCCGGCCCAGTGCCCGGAGCTGCTGCTAAGAAGCTCCCGGGAATCCCTCTCGTATTTTGGCACAAGAAGGAGTGCTCGATTACAAAAGCCAGGTGTGCTGGTGGCAGGGGCCAGCGCTGCGAGGCTGTGATGGAAAAGCGCCGGGGCACGGCTGCGGAGCCGCAGGAGGATGTGGCAGATACAGCAGGACAGGAGCAGCCCCAGGAACAGCCCCAGGAACAGCCCCAGGAACAGCCCCAGGAACAGCCCCAGGTACAGCCCCAGGAACAGCCCCAGGTACAGCCCCAGGTACAGCCCCAGGAACAGCCCCAGGAACAGCCCCAGGTACAGCCCCAGGAACAGCCCCAAGAACAGCCCCAGGTACAGCCACGGCATGAGGGGACAGGGAAAGAGCAGGGACCAGCACGACCCTGTGGGATTTCACCTTAAACTCGGTTTGTGTCCATCACCCACTGTTTGTGCAGGGCACGGAGGGAGAGAGAAGGAGAAACAGGGAAGAGTAATCCCTGGGATTCTCCAGGATGCTGATTTAAAACCAGGACACGTGGAACGATTCCAGGATAAAGGATAAAGGATAAAGACCATCTTTCTGGGCACCAGTGGTGCCACAAGGCTGTGCAGTGGGTGGGAAGGGATTAAAGGTGATTCCTGTCATCTGTTAGCTGAGGTGAATATGGCACACCCTACCTCACTGTGGTGCTGGCACGTGGAGAATATCCCCAAATGTGGAGGATGGAGAAATGGAGGCTGAGAAATCCCCAGGGCTGAAGAAAAATGGCTCAAATGGCAGAGCTGTCCAGCCTGTTTCTCTTTGTGCTGAGGGGCTGCAGTTACCACATTCATCAGATGAACATGCAGGTGACTGTCAGCATTGGAGATAAGGGAAAAATTGCAGCTAGGAGTTCAAACCAGGGCTGCTCCCTTTGGCAATTCACTCAAACAGGCCCGTGGGAGAGAAAGTGGTTTATCAGAATCCATTCATTGCCTTCTGCCCTGCCGGGGAGGTGCTGTGTTTTGGAGCCGGTCTGTTTTCCC